GGTAGGACTGGAACATCCAGAAAAGGAACAAAAACAAAACTATGAATTATCAGTATTAGTGGCCAAAAAGAATTTGGTGGTCACTTGAAGTAGGGCCTCTTTCCTCTTTATGGAGTCCAAATCAACTAGAATATTCCAGTCCTCAGCATGGAAAATGTCATTGTTTGTTACAAAATCAGAAGATCCATCATTAGGTGAATCATTACAATTAGTAGAAACCATAACATCTTTCGTAGTCTCTTTTACTGACTCAGTGCCCTCACCTACCTTCATTATTTTCCAAGACCATCACTTAAATCTTACTCATTAACTTGTAGGGCCTTTATGATGTGGTTCCAAGATCAAGATCAACTCATTTAGTTTGAAATAAGTAGAATTAGGATTCAAGGCTCATTAGAGAATAACCTTCTGTCTCTAGATTTAAGTACTCCATATTTTTTTCTCTATAATTATTCTCTAGTGATTTTATTGCTGAGTACTGGGTCCAAATAGCAAAGAGTCAACTGACTTTCTAAAATCCTAGGATCTAATCACTATATTTTAGGCTTAAATTCAATCTCTTCTATTAAGATTCACATCAAACAAGTGATATTGACGGACAAAACAGAAACTTCATCTTTGATTTTCCTGAATACAGTTTATTTGCACATGTACATCTAACAAAACCCTCATATAGTCAGTTTCCACCTTTAACCAAAGTACCTCTCAAATATCAATTCACCAACTACCTATTATTTTGGCAAACCACTTGAAATTATCCTCTCTTCTTTTGGAGAAAAGATTATATTTCACATCCTAAAGTTGCTTCTATTAGAAAAAGAAAGTAATAACACAGGGCAGAATTTTTAAGAGCTTATCTCAATATATTAGTATGGAACCAGTTCAAGCATGAGATTGACACCAACTAAGAAAAGCATGGTGGTTATAACACAGTGCAGAATTTTCAGAGCTTATATCAATATCTTAATATGGAACCAGTTCAAGCATGAGAATTACACCAATTAAGAAAACTTTTTTTTAGAATAAAAAGAGATATCATTCCAAAGATACCAAGGGGATACCGCCCAATATACAACAATTACAGCTCAATCAAATGATCCAGAACCAACCACAAATCCTCAAAATCCTGAATATCATGTCCCAAGAATAAAGAACCAAAAAGATGAAACCATCTATCCTTGATGCTGTTAAAATCATTTTCTATCCCCTCCAAGGCTCTTGAATTTCTATCTTTCCACACAACCCACATTAGAGAGAATGGAATCAGCATTAAATATTTTTTTTCTCACACAATCTAGCCCATGCCCACAATTCATCCTTAACCAACCCTGCTATAACCCATTTGATTCCCAACATTCCATAAATAGAAGTCCATAGATCATAAACCGGCGGACACCACAATAATAGATGGTTACAAGATTCAGCATAACATTTGCACATATAACATCTATTAATCATGCATCTCCCCCTCCTCAAGAGCATATCTGTAGTTAAAACACTTCCTCTGCATGCTTCCCATACAAAAAAAGTCAATCTTGGAGGTGCTTTAGTCTTCCATACTTGCTTAAACGGAAAAACAGATTCAGCTTTCATCTTTCCACCCCCAAAGGTGACAATATAAGGATTTCACAGAAAAAATCCCACATTTCTCCATCGTCCACTGTTTATAATCATCCTGGCCACCCACTTTTTATTCAGATAATAAAAGATATAGTTGCTGAACATCATCAATCTCCCAATCATTCAAATTTCTCTTCACCTACACATCCCACCAGCTATGGTCTCCATTTTCCACATACGCCTCCCTTACCGTCATATTTCTGTTCTGTGCAATCTCGAAAATGCTTGAAAATCTGTCTTTAAGTCTAACATTTCCAACCCAAATATCATCCCAAAACCTTATCTTTAAACCATTTCCAACACACCATCTAGTACGTTCCTCAAATGCTTTCCTACCCTAATATATTCTTCCATAAACTACAGCCATGGGCTCTCCCAACCAAACTCCACTCATCTCTCCCACCCTTTGCGCCCCACCTAGCCCCCACCACTTTACACCATAATCTGTCACCTTCCCTACAATTTCTCCATACCCATTTTCCTAACGAGCATTATTCATTTGA